AAGAGCGAGAATTCACGGACCGGACGCATCTGACTGATAAGCAAGTGAAGAAGTTCTTCGAGAGGGGTTCGGGCCATCGCTCGGTGGTGTGCCGAGCGTGCCACGAGCAAAGACACGTAGCAAAGAGGTTGGAATGTTCCGCATGCCCCCAGAAAGCGGACGGATCCAAACCCGCGTTCACGGACGCCAGCCATCTGTCGAAAGACCAGAAGAAGAATTATTTCCTCCGAGGCATTCCTGTGATGTGCGCCACGTGCTATAAGGCGGAACGGGCCCCTCGGAGAGAACCGCCGAAACGCCCAGCGGAGGCGATCGACGAGCACGGCGGGAAACAACGCGAGTTGCAGGGGATCTGACCGCGAGTCGCGCGCGTGCCGTTGTCGGAGATCACTGGCGCCGTCGTCGGCCCCTCTTGCCCCGTCTGAACGCCCTCTTGGCTTGTTGAGAAGGCCTTCGTGGAGGATTCTTGGTGTTTTGGTGCGTTCTGTGGGGGCTCGGAACCCTCTTGGAACGCATTTCGGAGGCCCTGGGGGGGCCTCGTGGGGTCCTCTGCCGTCGAGGACGCCTCATGGCCCGTCTTTGGGCCACCTGTAGACCATGTGGTGCTCGCGGGCCTCTCGGACCGCTCCTCGAGCGCTCTTGGGACCACCCTCTGGACAGCTCCTGGGGCCGTCTGGGACTGGGTTGGGGGGCCTCGTGGGCCGTCGGATGCGTCGGAAAAAAAACCCAAAGCCGAATGTATGAAAAATGTTCGTTTCACGAAGGGACTGGGCCAATTTTTCCGTCTCGGACCCTCTGGAAACGCATCTCGGAGGCCCTCGGGGGGGCTCGTGGGGATTTCTTCTGCCGTCAAGGACGCCTCGTGGCCCGTCTTTGGGCCACCCTCAGACTATGTAAAGCTTGTGGGCCTCTCGGACCGCTCCTGGAGCGCTCTTGGGGCCGTTTTCGGAGCTCTCTGGGGCCGTCTTGGACGCCTGTCAGCCCGTCTTGGGGCCCTCCAGGGGTATGTGGGGGGCCCTCTTGGAAGCTTCTTGGACCGTCTGGGAGTGGCTTTGGGGGGCTCTTGGGCCGTCGGAGGCATCGGACAGGCCCAGGGCCGAAGTTGTGGAAAACTTCCGTTTCACGAAGGGAATGGGCAAACTTCTGCATCTCGGAACCCTCTTGGAACGCATGTCGGAGGCTGTGGGAGGGGCCCGTGGGGACCTCTCCTGCCGTCGAGGACGCCTCCGAGCCCGTTTTGGAGCCATTTGGAGCCCATGTGGAGCTTGGGGGCCTCTCGGAGCGCTCCTGGAGCGCTCTTGGGGCCGTTTTCGGAGCCCTCTTGGGCCGTCTTGGACGCCATCCAGCCCGTCTTGGGGCCTTCCAGGGGTATGTGGGAGACCTTCTGGGAGGCTTCTGGGACCGTCTGGGAGTGGCTTTGAGGGCCTCTTGGGCCGTCGGAGGCATCGGACAGGCCCAGGGCCGAAGTTGTGGAAAACTCCCGTTTCACGAAGGGAATGGGCAAACTTCTGCATCTCGGAACCCTCTTGGAACGCATGTCGGAGGCTGTGGGAGGGGCCCGTGGGGACCTCTCCTGCCGTCGAGGACGCCTCCGAGCCCGTTTTGGAGCCATTTGGAGCCCATGTGGAGCTTGGGGGCCTCTCGGAGCGCTCCTGGAGCGCTCTTGGGGCCGTTTTCGGAGCCCTCTTGGGCCGTTTTGGACGCCCTCCAGCCCGTCTTGGGGCCCTCCAGGGGTATGTGGGAGACCCTCTGGGATGCTTCTGGGATCGTCTGGGAGTGGCTTTGGGGGCCTCGTGGCCCGTCGGATGCATCGGAAAAAACCAAAGTCGAACTTGTGAAAAATGTCCGTTTCACGAAGGGAATGGGCCAACTTTTCCGTCTCGGAACCCTCTGGACACACATCTCGGAGGCCCTCGGGGGGGCTCGCGGGGCCCTCTTCTGCCATCCGGGACGCCTCGTGGCCCGTCTTTGGGCTGCCGTGCGCGTCGTGGACCGCTCGTTGGGGATCCAGAGCCATATCGAGGCCACCCCAGCAGTCCTTGCACGATTTCCGCAAGATTTTGCACGTTTTTCTGGACGGATGACCCCAGGGGGGCCGCCCGGGGCCGCCCGGGAAGACCCCGCCCCCCTCCAAATCGACCGGACCGGGCCCCGGGGGGAGGGGTTTGGGGAGGGGGAACATCTCACACGCCGATGAACCCCAAGGGGTCGGCGGATACATCCCTGATGCATCGGCCAGGCGGCGCGATCCTCCGACCCCATCTATCCGGACCCTATCCAGGAGGCTTCGAGCTTTCAAGGTCATCGGCGAAGGACCGTAATCCAGAGCTCCTCGGCAACTTCAGGACACCGCGCGGGGCCGCAGCCACGCACCAGGCTAAAGGGCACGTGGGCCACATGCACTCCTAAGGATGGTCGAGGTGAGCTGCGGGTCGGCCACGCTTACGCGGGAGTTCTTGCGCGCTGAGGGAGAGATTGTGGGCGTCGACTTCGCCAATCGCTACGACGCAGCATCGCCTTGGGCTTGGGCCGTTTTGCGGACCGACGATGGGACGGAGATGTTGGTGACATGCATGCACGGTTTCAGGACAGGTAGGAGTTGGTGTGGTTTGGGCCGATATGTCGGACACCTTTACGCGGGGGAGGCGCTGCATCTGCTCGCCTCCCACCGCCGTTGCGCTCCGAAGCGGAGCCGTGGGCTCTTTCCGCCCCAGTGGCGGCTGAGGTTGCAGCGAGGCTGGAGTCCACCGACCTCGTCTGCCGCAGCGTGCATAAGATCATGCAATGGTATCGGGAATCACCGCCCACCAAACCACCCCAGCCCAACCCGAAGGCCCCGATTTGACCTCCACTTCAGGGGGGGGTCGGGGAACACTGAACCAACAAATATGGAACCCGTACCCCTCCCCCCCAACCCGAAAGTCGGGTCTTCGGGTTGGGTTGAGGTGGTCTGGTATGCAGTCGGGGAAGAAGGGGCCCCATGTGCATTTCGAGCACCTCTCGACCGCTTGCCCTGGCGCACGCCAGAGCCTGCAGAGCTGCTGCAGCACCCCCTTGGGCCTGCGGCGCGTGCTGCCGCGCCGGCACGGCTCGGCGGCCGGCGTGCCGGCCGTGCATCGTGGGTCAAGCCGCTTGCGGCGTTCGGTAGACCACCCGCTTACGGTGGGGGGCGTTGGGTAAGGAATGTGCCTAGGAGGCCTCAGAGCCTGGAGGATTCCTTATCGGCTGAGGGCGTTGGTGACATCCATAGCCAAGCCTCGATTGGAGCCCCACCCGCTTCCAGACCCTGGCTTCCTTGTCCAATGGTTCCTTATTCAATGCGCTCACCGTATCCCTAGGACTGTGATGTTCCAATCATACTTTAGCCTCGACCATCCGAAAGAATTTCGAGCACCAAAAAAGTAACGAAACTGGAGGGTTTCCACGTGTCGGGCCCCGGGAGACATTCGCCCGACACTGCTTCGACACTGTGTCAACACCCTCCCGGGTGCTCGACACTGCCTCTGGGATGTGGCCCTCGAGCACGATGGGAGCAAACGGAACCCTGGGAAGACAAGTGGCCAGCCGCAGACGGCTCGTGAAGCGGAGTGCTCCGAGGTCCTCTGCAGCCGGAGCCCTGGCGGGGCCCTGCGGCAGTGGCCCCCCCTGGCAGGGCCGGAGCCGCGATGCCGCACGCGTGGGCGAGGGCGGCTGCCCGCGCCGGGGCCCCCCAAGAAGGGGCAGCGCTCGAGCGCGCGCGCTGGGCGGCAGCCCATCGGGTCGGGCGAAAGGGGGGGATTGGGAAAGGAGGGGTTACGAAATTTGCTGCATGCAGCTGGATTCGGCCTCACCGAAGGGCCAATTCCTCGATGCATGGCCGCTTCCGGCGCCGGGAGGCGCCGGGAAAATCAGCTACGTGAGCTGATTCTCAAACCCCCCTTTGCTATCCCCCCCTTTCGCCCGACCCGAGCCCAGGGCATGGCAAGACTCAAGCAGTGGCGGAGCGTCCCGGCTCGCCTACAGCCCCGTCCAGACAATGTTATGAGAGCCTTTTTATGGTATGCACGAAATGTTATTTAAGAACATTTCTGGTTGAGACTGTCTTGGTTTAACACATCGGGTTAATTTTCTAAGAGCATTGATTTGGTTCTTAGAACATTCCTGGGTTCTAAGAACATTTCGTGGTAGGACTATAGGAATGCCGGGACGGTCCGTCCCTGCTCAAGAGACAGGGCCGCTGGTGCCCGAGTTCAAGGAGACGGCAGTCATGGGAGCGCGATCGCGCATCCTGGAGAGGTCGGCCACGCGCAGAGGGGGGCAGGGGGAGAGGGGATGGCCTCTTAGAGGCACCCCTGCTTCTTAGAAGGCGCGGGCCTCATCTTTGGGTCTAAGACCAGCACCTTCTAGGAAGCAGCCTTCTTCTAGGAAGCCTTCCCCCCTCCTCTACCCCTTCGTGCGCGCCGCCAAAGAGGGTGCGCGAGGAGGTGCGAGACCCGAAGAGCCAGGAAAAGACAGGGCGTATCATGGATGGGATCGCCCTTGAGCAGAGTCACGCACTGCCTGACTGGAGTCAGAAGAGCCCTCCTAACTCCCCCCCACTCAGTATGCAACTCCTGGAAGGTTCAATTCCGCATCGGCGCTGCTATACCCGTGGTCGAAAACTGGCCGAATCTGACGTGCTCCCGCTCAACCCCGCTCAATCCTGCACGGTCCGGCCAAATCTGGGCCTGCTCTGGGTCAGTGCGATGCAGTAGGTCCTAATCGGGCGAGTCAGTTTCAACATCTCCCACGAAGGCTTGGCGGCGCGCAGAGGGGGGTAGGGGGAGGGGGGAAGGCTTCTTAGAAGCACCCCTGCTTCTTAGAAGGTGCGGGCCTTCTCTGTAGATGTAAGGCCGGCGCCTTCTAAGAAGCAGCCTCCTTCTAAGAAGCCTTCCCCCCTCCCCCTACCCCCTTCTGCTCGCCGCCAAAAGGCCTCCCAAGAGTTGCCTCCTAGCCCTCCCCCCCCCGCCACGACCGCCCAGGTTCCTCGGCGGCATGGGCGGGCTCCCGTGGCCCGCTCGGCCCAGCGCCCCGCGCGCGCGCGCCCTCGCGCGCCGACCAGTGAGCGGGCCAGGATCGTTTCGGCTCGGCGCCGCGATCGTCACTCGAGATTGAAGCGGCTCGACGTCCCCCCTCCTCGTTCTCCTCCTGCATCACTCGGAGGAGGAGAATTGTTCGAGCACCGCTACCCTCCCCTCGTCGCCACGGCTGGACTCGCCTCGGAGCCCCGTGTAGCCGGAGCGCACCCCAGGAGAGGTCCGTGGAGTATCGTTACGGGTATCTTCCTGTTCCCCCTGTCATCGTCCTTCTCCGTCCTCCCCTGCCTCCTCTTCCTTCTCTTCATCCCTCTCGTCCTCCCGCTCCTCCTCCCAGCCCTTGCCGCGCGGTTGCGTGGGCCAGCTCTCCAGAGGCCGCGGTTGCGTGGGCCAGCTCTCCAACGAGCACGGCTGCGGGGGCCAGCTCTGCGTCCTCTAACTCTGGGCGTCTGGGGCCCCCTGCGGCTGTCCTTTCCCTGGGGGACCCGAGACCTTAGCGGCTCGATGCTGGTGGCTTCTCTTGCGCGGCCGACGGATCCAAGAGCGCGACAGGAGGGCCCCGAGATGCCACAAATCGTGTTCAACAGCAGTGGGGCCCAATTGTTGTTCGTTTTATTCCCTACCTAGGCTCTGCAAGGGTTCTTACTCTGAGGCTTAAGGGGCCGGGCAGTGGAACCCGCCCCGGGCGGTTCCCCCAGGATCCGCCCCGCGGTTCCCCCGGTCCCCTGGGAGCCTTAGCTTTAGCTTAGCTTTAGCTTAGCTTCAGCTTAGCTTTAGCTTAACGTTAGCTTAGCTGTAGCTTAGCTTTAGCTTAGCTTTAACTTAGCTTTACCTCAGCTGTACGCTTTACCTTAGTTTTACCTTAAGTTTAGGTTAGCTTTAGCTTAGCTTTAGCTTAGCTTTAGCTTAGCTTTAGCTTAGCTTCAGCTTAGCTTCAGCTTAGCTTCAGCTTAGCTTCAGCTTAGATTCAGCTTAGCTTCAGCTTAGCTTCAGCTTAGCTTCAGCTTAGCTTTAGCTTAGCTTTAGCTTAGCGTTAGCTTAGCTTTAGCTTAACTTTAGCTTAGCTTTAGCTTAGCTGTATCTTAGCTTTAGCTTTACTGTTACTACTAATGTTTCTTTCCTAGGGGCTCCAGCTCCGGGGTAGGGTTGCACTGGGATAATTTGTTTCGAGTGTTGGCTGGTCACTTCCGAAGAGGTCCCAGGATGCTCTTGCCTGTTCTCTGGCCCCAAGACAGCCTGAACATGTCTCAGTGTTGGCCTCATGTGGACCTTTCAGAGGCTCCAATATACACATGGTGCCGCATTGGCCATGCGAGCGCCAAGGGGCATTACAATCGGCGGGAACTCTGCGTCATCAGCACGAACTCGTGATGCCATTCGGCATACAATTTCTCAAACGCCTGATGCCTTTGGATATTTGTCTTTTCACCTGTCAATGTTGTGTCATAGCCATCCCGCCATCCCTCTTCGCTCCTTTGAGTTTCCTCCTCGGTGTTCATATACCTAATTTTCCTGTTCGCTATCCTTACCAGCCTTCGTCCGCCTTGCTCTACGAGCTGTTCTCGCTGTCTCCTCGCCCCGACGTGCCTCTTCGCCCAGCATCCGGTTTCTCCGCATGCTTTTCCGCTCGCCTGCCGTCTGCCTCAGCGGCCTTCTGCACCTCGTTCCTTCGTGCCGCCTTGGCGGCAACGCCCTCCGTCCGCGAGGTGGTGCGACGGCGAGCCGCGGAAGATATTCCCCGAGGTCGTTGCCTCGCCGCCCTCCGGTCTCTCGGAGCGGTCCCATGCAGATGAGGGCAGGAGCAGGAGGACAAGGAGGAGGAGGAGGAGGGAGAGTTTTTTGGGGATTATTTTTCAAGGCAGTGGCTCAACGCGCGTGGTGATATCTGGCTTCAGGGAAAGCATTCCGAAGAGAGCTTGGCTCGGCGGCGGTCCGCCAGCACGTCGCCGTCGCCAGGGTGCAGCTATAACACTATGTAGCGTCTTATTTTCTAGTCAGCGCACGATGTAAATTAGAGGGCCGGCGCGCCGCCTTTCCCGCAAAGCGGTGAGAAAAGGCAGGCAGGCAGTATCGCCCTTTGCCCACGCGCTCCGGCGCATTAGAACACAAAAACTATGTGGTTGGCTCCCTGGGAAGAGCCGTGCTAAGGCCGCCCGGCCGAGAGCCACGAGCTGACCCAGCCCCTGGTGAGTCTCTGTGCAAGCAGCGGACTGCCCCCAGCCTCAGTGCGTCTGACTACGGGCGGGCGGGATCGGAACTCACACGTGAGGAATACCTTAAAGCAGTTGCATTGGCTTTTCACATGTTTCATAAAACAAAAGGTTTCGCTCAGAAGACTCCCGTGTCTCTGGAGGGCGCATATGACATTCGAGGTGCTGCAGACCTGGCACTCGAACGGCGAGATGCTCTCACCGACATTGTGTTCCGTCTTTCATTATATTTCTTGGGTGGTGGTTTGGTAGTGGGATGTGTGGGGGGGGATCGCACGAAGACCCAGTGGCGGCGGCATGTTGCGGCGATGAGTCTACCGCAGTGCCCTGTCTCTCTTTCTTTCACTTCCTTTTTTTTGCCCTCGCCTGCGAGGCCTATCTTGAGATCTGGTCTGCCTCGAGCACCATCTTTTTTGTGGGCCTCGCTGGTGGCGGAAGTGGCAAAAGAGTTTCGCTGCCACGCGGGAGGCCGAAAAAGAACCCGAGCGCCACCCAGCTGGGGCCCATTCTCCCTCCGTCGATACGTCTGCGTGGTCCGAGGTTGAGGCGGGTGGTCGGACAGACATTATTGGATACGTCGTCTCCTCCATCCTCCTCCTCCTCCTCCATCCTCCTCCATCCTCCCTCCTCTTCCTCCTCCTCCTCCTCTTCCTCCTCCTCCTCCTCCTAGGCCTTTCTCTTACATGCTGGCAGGGTCCATGGGGTCCGGAACGAGGCGGCGTTGCTCACGATCACAAACCAGTGTTTTAGGTTCTTGCAGGTTTTGCGCATTAGGGAGAATGCCAGGGGCACGTGATAAGGAGTTCTGCTACCATACATTACACTACTGGACGCAACACATTTTTACAGCACGAGGCTCGCGTCCCTTACCCACCTCGTATGTCCTGCATGTAGCTTCAAGTCTCAAGCGCTCTTGGCACTTCAACTACATATTCGCACGCATTGCTTTCAGCCCGAGACCCGCAGCATCCGACTGCCTCGTGCACCTAGACATTTCGGCTTCCGCTTCGGCCGTTCCAGCCCCAACGCAGCAGGTCATGGACCTTTCAGTGCTGTTCAAAAGGCACAAGCCCGAGGGAGATGGCGACGAGCTTCCAGACGCTGCTCCCCCCGGCAAGGAGGCAAGAGGAGTGGCCCAGCTCGCGGACGACGCACGGGACACGCTTCAAGCAGTCGTCAGTGCTCTCAGGTCCAAGGACCTCCAGCACCCCATCAACGTTTTGCTGAAGATGGTGCGCCAGCACGCTCAGCAGCTGCGGGATCTAGCTTCGTCGGAGTGGTTCAGCGCGGTGTTCCCCGCGAAAGCGACAGTGGTCGTGGAGGGACGCGCAGCAGGCAAACAGTATTCAGAAGCGGCCCAGATCGCGGAGTTGAAACTTTTGGGGGGCCCGCCACTCTTGCGCATCGCGTGAGCCGCGGCGTTCAAGTCTATGGCGGAGCCAGACACGTTTCGGACACAGGCACCAGAGGCTCGCAGCCTCCTGTCCAAGTTCTGCGAGCAGTTCGTCTTGAGGTCAGGAGCGAAGGAGCTTGGCTTGATGATTCGCCACTTCCGCCACAAGAAGTGCTACAACGAATAAAACATCATATTGCATCTCTCGGTAGCGGACCAGATCACGCTGTGCGGAAAGGCTCAGCAAGCCGACGAAGAGGAGAAGGAACTCAACTATTCGAAGCTGGAGCTGGAACAAAGCATCGTGTACGCCCTCGAGCGCATGGGGAGCAAGCTCAAGCTGGGGACAGCGCCCCAGGGCCACCTCGAGACCCTCGCGCAGAAGCTCTTGGATCGCCCGAAGCCAGCGAAGGGACAAATGAGGACGCAACCAGAGATGTCTTGGGATCAGAGATGGGCTGCTCTCTGTTATCGTATCAGGGCACGGTAAATACGAGGATCAGTTGGGTTGTGATATTTCATGTCTTGTACGAGCCAGGACATATTCCATATTTTCTTTTGGCCACCAAGGATTCTACTCTGGCGGCGGTACGTGTATTCGGACGCGGGAGCTTGGCTAGGGCGACGATTGACCCACCTCGCCCGCCATCTTTGCCACGCCCCCCACGCAGGCTTCACTTATGACGAAGCAGGCTCGCACCTCCCACAACCCACCGCCGACCTTCCTCTACTACAGGCCGTGACTGACCTTGCAGGGCCATGCTCCAGCTGCTCTTTCTACCTGACGCCGTCAGGGTCGCCATATCATGATGATGATTGAGGTTGCTTGTCTTTTGCACTGCCGACGCACGGACTGCACGAGTTCGACCAGCTCGTCGAGCCGAGTCGGCTCCTGTAGGGCACCCTCCACGCGTGCCGCGACTTCGTCCAGGCCTGTCGGCCAGCCTGGGGCGCGCCACGCCGTGGCTTGCCGCTGCTTCCCCCTCTCTGCCTCTGCCGCCCCTCCCCCCCGCCCCCCCTCCCCGTTGCTCGTCCGAGGGGCCTCCTTTTTTTACCCGCGGCCTGGTGGGGGCTCCATGGCCGCTTGTCTTCCCCTCCTCGACTGGGGGCTCGGCAGAGCCGCGCCCCGACCCAGGGTGGTGTGCTCTCGGCCCTGGGGCCCTCTTGCCCATTTTTTACCCAGGGTCCGCTCGGGTGTTAATCGAATCTCCCAGGGCTTGGCGAATGCTTCGGGGGCCTGCCCGACGCCCGTCGCGTCGCAGGGCTCGGCTTCGGTGAAGCCCGAGGGGGAGCACCCCCAGCCCGCGGGAATCAGTGCACTTGCAGACAGCCGAACCCGTTCGAATTCGAGCTGCACAGTGCGCAGCTGCGCAGCAATCCTGACCTCGATCGTTTGCAAGCTCGATCGCTTGCTCAGAGGTTATCTTTTTGGTTTTCCGTTCGTTGCCCGATGCCCCGTCAGGCGATGTCAGGCCGGACCAGAGACCACGCGCAAGGCCGAGTCTTCTTCTTCTTTTCATTATTATGATTCGTTTTCCTCCTCCTCCTCCTCCTCCTCCTCTTCCTGCTCCTCCTCCTCCTCCTCCTCCTCCTCTTCGTCCTCCTCCCCCTTACCCTCCTCCTCCTCCTCCTCCTCCTCCTCCTCCTCCTCCTCGCCTCGGGAGTTTTTTTCCAGCCTCCTGCGCAAAGCCTGGCGCAGTCTGCCCGCATCTCAAAATGAGCATTGGGACACATGCTGTGCACAGCGCGTGCGGGGCGTCTAACGCCACATTCCATTGATGCGGTAGGTCCCAGGTGCTGTCGTTTCAACGAACCTATCGTCCAGGGGAACCGCGGTCCTGGGCGAGCTCGGCAGCGGTGGCGCATTACCCACGTCTGCGTCGACACGATGATTATGGTGATGCTAATAATGATGATTATGATGATGATGATGATGATGATGATGATGGTGATGGTGATGGTGATGGTGATGATGATGATGATGATGATGATGATGGTGATGGTGATGGTGATGGTGATGATGATGATGAGGAGGATCAGCATCATCATCATGATCATGACAATGTTTCTGGTATTGTCGTTGCGGATGACAAAGCTGTACAAGTGTATTGCTGATGGTATGCCGATGATGATGATGATGATGATGATGATGATGGTGATGGTGATGGTGATAACGATGACGACGACGCCGACGACGATGATGATGGTGATGGTGATGGTGGTGTGGTGATGCAGATGCTGATGTTGAGATGGGGATGGGGATGGGGATGGGGATAGGGATGCCGAGGGGTATGATGAGGATGATGATGATGATGGGGATTATGAGGGTGATGGTGATGATGGTGATGATGGTGGTGGTTGTGCTGTTGCTGCTGCGGATGATGATGATGATGACTTCATTGAGCTGTAGCCTGAGCCATAGACAATCGTGCGAACGCGTATGCATGACAGACCCCTGCACGCACAAGCAAACAAAACTGACACCGAAACTGATGAGATGCGTGAGTTCGGCTCGACTTATTTTCGCTGGTGTGTACACGCGCCGAGAATTGGGGCCGCCCCACGGCAGCCAACTCGCTATGGCTTAGATATCATGGCCAGAGGCCTAACAAAATCCGCCCGCCCAGAGGTAATTATAGTGTCAGACATGCTTATTCACTAATGTGCACGCAGATGAAAACGAACACGCAACACAACAATACATGCAGAGCAGGGTGAGGAGGTTAGGCGGAGGGAGAGCACGGCTGCGCAATAGTGGATCAACGGGCAGAAGACGAGAGACGAAGCCAATGTCACAACAACGCGTACAACATCGATGGATCAACGCGGCCTGATCATGGCGCGGGAAAACACTCAGTCATATGTTTACTCTTCATGTGGATCGTTGCAGTGTGTCCACTTCTGTTGAGTCCATATGAGCGCAGCCCGGAAACATGACAACTACTGGTGTTTAGAGCAAACGCTGTCGACGGCAATCCAAAGAGCTTCCCAGAAATATCCCAGACATCACAATTCAAGCATGAGGCTCGCATAACGGGGAGCGGGACCAAACCTCAAGCACCGGCCACCGTGTTGAACTAACAACCCGCGCACGGAACCCGGCTCATGCAGCGACAGGTTGCTGCATTACCGCGACTGGA